GGAACCAGTGGATCCTTAGCCTCTTCCTCTCTTTTTATCATTTCCCAGCCACTACCATAGGTGAGCAGCTTTGGTCTGCCATGCATTTTCACTTTGATGTGGTGCCACAGGTCCAAAGCAACAAGGCCAGCTGCTCATGCACTCAGGGCTCTACAACTGAGCCAACACAAACCCTTTCTCTTTGTAAGCTGAGCATCTCAAGTATTTGCAGTAGTGACAGAAAGCTGCCTACTATACCAGCTGAGGTAGACAGAACATCTGCAACCATGATAGTGAGGCATATTTGACTCCTCACTTTGAATCTCCTGGCCAGGCTGGTACAAAAGACACCCAGTAAGCACAGAATAAACTAATTCTGGCTTGGCTCCCCTCACCATCACCGAACGCACAAACTTGCAATTGTCAGCTCATGTTCGCTTGCTCTACGCTCATTGCTGGCTGTCCTCACCCGCCTCTGTGCTCAGGAACCTGTGACACTGTCTTTCTCTACCCGAGCATCTCCAAGTTTCTGTTGACTCCGAAACTGCCCCCACAGAAAGTTTTATGAACTCTCTTCAGGATTTATTAAATCATTTCATCATTGTTGCATGATATGATGAAGAGAAATGTTTTAAGTAGAAATATCCTCTTTAAGATAAGTGTAAGTGAAAAGATGATTTAAAATTTATTTTGAAGGTAATTTCCCTATCTAATAAGTAGTGCCACTATTTCATTTACATAAATTAAATCCTTAATGTATTAATTATGCAAGAAAAGGCACAACTGGCCAATAACATAAATATGTCTTAGCACTAAAGTATATTCTAAAATGTAGATTTGAAATTAAATCCATACTATATAATCAAAACAAAAATAGCTTTATGACACTTCTTGGAATTTTTGATTTTTGAATGTGTAATCCAACTGGTACTCTTTGTTTTTAGATGATGGAAAACAGGCTAAGATTTCAGGCTTCTATTTTTAAGTACCTCTCTGAAAATAATGACTGGCCTTCATTCCTCAAAATTAAAATGTCAAATTATATAAAAATCAATACTATAAATACTATTTTAACATCAGCTTTTGAAGAATAAAATTTCCATTAGAAAAACAGTGTGAGGATTTGGTAAAGATCATTCTGAGGCTAGCTTATAGAAGAATTATCAAGTTTAAATTCATTACTAGCTTGTTACATTTCAATCAGAAGCTTCCTATTGTTAGACAATGGTTTTGTGTATACTAAACAATGTATTACCACAGAAAGGGGAAAGAACTATGTAGAGCTATGTAACTGACAGAACACCCAGGACTGCTGGGGCTTCCTGCATAGGACACGACCAGATGGGAGAATGAGTGTTCACTTAGGGTCACTGACTCTGGGGCTTGTTTGCTCTGTAGAGGCAGAGGGGTGCTCACATAGTTCTGCTGTCCAGGGGGCAAGCATGTAAAAATGCTTCAAGAGTACAAATAGGAAAAAAAAGCTATGCTATTTTTAACACGAATTCCCCAAACTGCCTGTAGACACCAGCGGTTTCAAACTACGAGCTGAAAAATTTAACTTTCTTGACCTTTACAATTTTAATGATATTTTCAATCTGTCTAACATAAAACGAAAAATCCCCCAACCAGACATACTTTTCCCAATACAGGCCCCCCCAACTAGTCCCTCTCTTGCTTTCTGTTTTCCCTCATAAGCCAAATCCCAGGAAAAAGTGATTTCAACTTGCTGCTTCAGATTCTTAGCTCACACTGTTTCAATCCACTCTAATCTGGTGTCTGCACCCACTCTTCAACTAAAATTGTTCTTGTTAATGTAACCAGTGTGTGCCTGTCACCAAGCTCAACAGACTCTTTCCAGCCTTGTTTAATAGCTCAGTGGCATCTGGTGGATCACTTCTTGTTTCCCAAGGCAGTGTGTCACCCTTTGATTTATGTGACAACAGGCTCTTTTAGTGTCTACTTATTTCTCGGGTTGCTTTTTCCTCAATCTCTTCTTCCAATTCTACCTTTGAAAGTGTTGGTGTTTCTTAGGATCAGTAAGTCTTCCTTCTTACTCTGTTTCTTTCCTGTGACCTCATTCTACCTCAAGCCCAGACACAGCTCCTGAATTCAGACCCTTATGTCCACCTGCTTATTCAACATGTCCACTTGAACACTGCATTTGAGCACTAAATTCAATGCGGCTTGTGCTCATCCCATCCCAGGTGATCTCAACTGCAAACCTGCTTCTCTGGAATGTTTTCTAGTTCTCAGTAACTAGCACTGCTAGGCACTCACTGCTCACGGCAGTAACATGCTGCCATCCTCGACGTGTGCTACCCAACACCGACAGCCTATCGATTAAGTCCTGTTGATGCTGCCTCCTACATAATTTGCCAACTAGTTTGCTTCTCTTTGTCACCATTATTGTCACTGGCCTTGGGGAAACATCACCACCACCTAACTGGCCTTGGGGAAACACCATGGCTCTGTCCCCATCTATTGTCTATTCCGGGCTATTTGTAAAATGCAAATTCGATTACATCATTCTCCTCTGTTTTTTAAAAAATATTTTCCTTTCTTATCACTGGTAACAGGATAAAATTAAAGATCTGTAGTAAATGACTGTAGGTTAGTCCTTGTTCCTCCCACCTTTACCTCCCTCATTCGTTATGTTGAACACACAATTCTTTCCTTCCCCAAAAGTACTACGCTTTCCTACCTCAGAACCTTCCATTTTAAGGTTTCCTTTCTCTACTCAAGGAACTGGCAAACTGTTCTAGGACAGGAACAGATGTAAACACACTAGGCTCTGCAGACAAAGAGGCCACAGCCACTGACTCAGCTACTCAACCCTGACACTCCGGAGTCAGAGCAGCCACAAATGAGAACAGCTATGTTGCTGGGCCACAAAAACATGGGCTGTGGGCTGGGACACAGTTTGTCAGTTCCTGCTGTAGAAGGCTCATAATCCCCAAACTGTCACTTATAGATTTAAACATTATGTTCTCACTGAAATTTTCCCTAGTCAGGACAGGTCCCCTTATTAGACATGTTTGTACCACAAAATATATTTCTTTTTTATAGACCTGGTCATAATTGTAATTAATTAGACACTGATGAAATTCTTTTGTCAAAATCCGTCTTCCCTATAAGGACGTAAGCTCCACCAGAGTGGGAACCAGAGTGACTTTGCTGTTATTTCCACCGTGACAAGAGAGAACATGTAGAGAACATGACACATAGTAGCTATCAATAAATATTTGTTGGAGGAATGAATCATTAATTTGCACTTTCACCTTCAGTTTAGGTAAGTTTATCTTTCCAAGCCTTAGTTCTTCATTTGGAAATGGACACAACAGTTACTTCCCAGATTTGACTTAGGCAGGTGTGCTTTTTACCAACTCTAATGCAATATATAGTAACACGAAAAGAAACAGAAGCCAGGCCTGGTGGCACATGCCTATAATGGCAGCACTCGGGGATCTGAGACAGAAGGGCAGCAAGTTTGCATACTGCCTGTCTCAAGATTAAAAATAAAAAAGGGCTGTGGAGATAGCTCAGTAATAGAGTGCCCAAGTCTGAGCCGAGTGTGAGGGTGGGAGAGTTCTTGGTTGTGTAGGACAGGAGCAAACTAGGCCCTTGGGTCAAATCTTCTCTCCTGTTTTGTTGGCTGTCTTGCTAAGAGTGGGTTTTCCTTTTTAAAAGGGTCCTAAGAAACAAAACAAAACAAAGACGACTATCACAGAGACCATATCTGGCCTGCAAAGCCTAAAATATTTATTTCCTGGACGTTTACAGAAAAAATCTGCCAACCTCTGACCTAGAACAGAGGCTGGGTTTAAGTAAGTATTGTAACAAGTGAATGAATGAATGACCATTACTTTGCTTTAATACGTTAGTAACTGGAAAACAGTACTACTTTCTGCTTTTTATCCATTCAATAAAGTAATTAAAGGTATAAAGATACAGCACCCTCCAGCCCTTCTCATTTTATATTTATTTTCAATTAAAAGAATAAAAAGAGTCTACAAACTTTTTAATTTTCCCTGTATTATATCTACAACTGTTTCTGAAAATGAAGGCTGGAGATGAAGTAGAAATGGGGTGCTGGAGGCCAAGGGCACCACCTCCCTGGAAGGTTGGTTGTTATTGCTGTGTGCCTGATTTCTGTGTGCAAGTCTTAGTCTACAGAAATCAATTCATTGTTGCCTTTAGAATACTCAGATTTTTATTCTTTGAGAATCCATATTATGCAGACATTAGAACTCACACATTCACAAAAAATAATCAGGGGCTGTGTTTACTACCAAAAAGAAATCCCCCAATGCTGCATAAGAAGAATAATTTGAACTCAAAATATCAAGATTCAAGCTTGAATTTTACCACTCAGTTCCTCTGCGATTTTGAGAACACTATTAGTCTCTTTCTCTGAGTTGTTTAAATCAGTAGTAGTTGCTTAATGACATTTAGTAGGTGGCTATTATTTAGGAGATGACATTTAGCGGGTGCTTTTACTTGATCTTTCTATCAAAATGAGCATTACAAGCACCAACAAATGGGTGAAGAAACATGCTCAGAGAGGTTGGGATATTTGTGCAAAGTGACAGCACGAGAAAGAGGTAAAGGGTTTGGAGTCAAATCTTGACTTTAGTAACCTCTGATGAAATATTTAATCTCTTTAAGCATACTGTACGTCTTACCTTATAGAAACCATGTAAAACCCGGTTTATAGAAGAAAAATATTGAAATTCTCCCATACTGCAATATCACCAACTTATACCTTAAGGGTAGGTGATTTTTCTTCACCATTCCATGTTAAATCTACTTCTATGTCTGTGGTAAAAATGGAATATTGTCTCTTCTCTGCATATAATAAGAACAACATACACTGAGGAAGCGTAAATACACAAAAGCATTAGATTTGGAGCACATCCCCAGAGTAACACAATGATCCTAATTTCTACTTATTCTATAGCAATTCTCCTTCTTCAGCCACATTCAGTATATGACACATCAGTTGATCAGTACAGCTTTATTACCTCGCTTTCATTGTCTCATGCACTCTCCCATGCTGGACACACTGTTCCTCCAATTCATTGTTTCTCCTCTGTAACTTTTCCAGTTTATGGTCTGTATACATTTTTTCCTGACTCAGCAGAGCGATTTCAGATCTAGAGAGGTTAAAACATAGAAATAATAGTTATTGAAAGTTCTTATAACTACAGCTTGTTTTTATCGTATAGCCCTATTTTACATGTCAGACTTAAACATAACAGCATAACAAACTTATTTTATGTAAAAGAAAATTTTCAGAAACTTCAAAGTGCGTACTAGGGACTCAAGTGCTACAAAAAATAAATAACATACTCCAACAGAAATGCTTTCTCTAAGGAACAATTCAAAAATTATAATGATCAACTATTTTTACAAAGACCATCATTCATTTAACAAATATTTACTGAGTGCTTACTATAGGCCAGCCACCAAGCTGTTAAAGAAGCAGTCCCAAGCCTAATTTCTATCACAGAGTTTCTTTTAGTTAACATAGCCAATTTAATGGCATATGGTTGAATATCAAATAGTTCTGTGATAGTTAATTTTATGTGTCAACTTGGCTGCACCACAGTGCCCAGATATTTGGCCAAACATTATTCTGGACATTTCTGTGAAGGTGTTCTGTGGATGAGATTAACATTTAAATCGGTGGATTTTCAGTAAAACAGATTATACTCCATAATGTGAATAGGCCTCCTTCAGTCAACCGAAGGCCGTAACAGAACAAAGGCTGACCTCCCCCAAGCAAGAAGGACTCCTGCCAGCAGACTGCTTTCAGGCTTGAGCCACAACTCCTCCTGTGTTCTTCAGGGTCACTAAGCTTTCACAACTGCATAAGCCAACACCTTGAAATAATTTCTTTTCCTTTCTTTTTCTTTTCTCTTTCTTCCTTTCTCACTTCTTTCTTTCCTTTTCCTTTCCTTTTCTTTTCCTCCTCTAAGTATTGAGTGATCTCGACCTAGATCAATCCAGGTCTCAATCAATCAATCAACAGATCACTGTTTTTTGTGTTTCTCTACAGAACCCTGGTTAATACAAGTCTGATAATGGGAAACAGCAATCTTTTGTCCTGTGACCCCTCAATCAAGCTAAGCGTGACACATACTGTATGCTTTGGAAAAGTTATTTCTTCTGACATTTACTTCCATATTTCTTGATGTGTTCACACCACTAGCTCTTGTTCCAATTAGGAAATTTCTACTGATGGTATGGTAGATGAAGATTAATTTCTTTTACATGCCTCCTTCCTCTTCTTCCTTCTCCAGCCTTCAGTGTAACTACCAGTCCTTCTTCAGCTGAGGTTCAATTAATATCAGTATTTACTACTTGCAATGCTAGTAGTGTATGTGCCCTGTGTACATTCATTTTCTCCAAGTTAGTGGGTGGTTGAGTAGCAAGTCATCTTTTCCAATGGGAGATCGCCCAAACATTACTGTCTTTCTTTTCACTGTGGCCATTCTGCTTCCCAAGAGGAGGATCCTTTAGTATACACCTGCTGTTGGTACAACCTGGACTGTCTACGACCCTAGGTGGATGGAAATAGTGAGAATCTCACCTTTCAGAGTGCAGACTTTCCCTTAGACCCTCTATTCTAGCTTCTGTGCCCCTACTATAGCCAGAGCTCCCTGGTTTAACTTCTTTAGAGAGGAAGGCAGTAGTCTGCTGTGTGGAAGAGGAACACTCAGTCACCTGGCTGCAAGGGGTGGAGATTGAACCTGCAATTCTCGTTTTGCCCTTATATTCTACCTCTGTCATCAAGTATTTCTGGGATTGAGAGCAGATTGGTTTGTTTTGCATATACGTATCTCCTGCGTAGATACTTAAGATTTACCCTTCTCCACTGTGCTGAATCAGGTACCATTCCCCTTGTCTCACACATACTTTATTGGGGATCACAGCTACTGTCTCTGGTGATAGCTGATGTTCCTTGGGGTATACACTGTTTCCAGTGTCATGGCTGACAACCCAAGTCTCAAAACTGGGAGATCAGAAAGACATCTATCCAAGAAAAATTGTATCCTTGTCATTTTTTAAACTGAGCTCGAAATTGTTGCTCACTGCTACCATCTCCTCATGCCTGACTACATCAAGAGTTAGAAAAGGATTAAAATTCATCCATATTATCAGTAGTTTCCAGGTTAATGATTAGCTTATTTCTTAAAGTTTACAGACTCTTGATATAAAACTTATATCCTCCAAAGGAAAGATTTCTCTATTAAAGTATTATCTTTTCTTTTGTCAATAAAGGATTTGGATTTGCTAAGGGAAATCTTACCCAAAGACCAAGCTGCTCCCATGAATGAAGTGCTTTCTCAACTTTAATTCACCTCATTCCTCACTTTGTTTTTACCTTGTTTCAAGTGTCATCCCAAAGTAAGTTTGTACAGATTAATATCTTGCAGTTCTCAATATGTCAGCATATTTTTGAAACTACCTCTAGCCTTTATGCATACATTAGTGTATAATTTATTCTTTTGAATTGGGCTCTAAGTCTCATCTTTCTTACTAGATTATAAGTGAGAACATGGCTCATCTCGTTTTCAAGTTCAGATCAGTACCTGTCCACATTTGCTTTTCTAAATAAGAATTTACTCATATTCAAAATATTTTAAGTGAATAAATAATTTCTATCTCTCCTTTCAAAATCTCATATAATGTAAAATAATTTAGAAGTAGTTATAATAAAATTTTAAGTTAGTACTCCTTCCAAAATTAGTATCTTTGATTACATTATACATTAAAATCAATTCTAAAAGAAGAAAAAATACACTCAAGCTAGATAAGAAAAAAGCACAGAACATTTATTTGTTGTCAGGAACTTTGCAAGCAAAAATGTATTTTCTAAAGGAAAAAAAAATCACAAAAGATAAAAGATTCTACAATATGAAAATATAAAACTTTTACACATAAAAATCTTACACAGTATTTGAAAAAACTTGGATTTGTGTGAGGATATATATTGTAGCACTGTTTCTAGAAAAAAAAAAAAAGCTTGCTTTGCAACTAGTATCTGGAAAGTTAACCCAGAAATAGGAGACCAATTATATTACCTTTATACTTGGAGATCAAGGTAGTATTATGATTATAAGGCTACTTACTAGTGTAACTTATTGCCCTAAAAATCTAGCATTGTTGAGAAAGGAAAAGCATTAAAACTTAGCATGTATAATATGATTCCATTTTATAATTTAAACATCTTTTAACATGGACACCAAACATTAATATTTATTGTTTCTGGATAGTAGGATCAGGAATATTTGTCCTTTTCATATTTTAGGAATTTTTACAATTGACACATTTTTAAAAGTTATTTTTATTTAAAAAAAAATTTAATACAACAAAAAAATGTAAATATTGACTAGAGGAAGTTCATTGGGATGTGAGCTAAAACTGTTCTAAAATTAAAGACATTAATTTTAAGAAAATAAAGAATTAGGAAAATATTTACAAAAAATAAGACAAAAATGGTAAGCATCATTAAACTGCTACTACCACTCCAACATAATTACAACTCAGAAAAGTACAAAGGACATGAAAAATACCTGCAGAAGAAGAAACAGAAGGGGTCAACAAACATTTGTAAAATGTTTAGTTTCAATATTATTCAAAGAAATGCACAATAAAACCAGATAATTTTTGCATGTTGACTCTACACCAAGTAGTGGAGTCCATCCTTTAATGAGTTCAGTTTTCTGAGAAGATAACTGTTCATTTCCTTTTCTCTGTGAGGTCAATATGAAGTTTAATGACTTGCCTGAGGTTACCCAAATGGTGATTAGCTAGTGTTTTCCAACTCTAAAGGTGTAGCTCACCCACTGCACAATACTGCCTTTCACTTTTAAAAAAAACTCTCCTTTTAATGTTACATATTGATATGAATACATATACAATGAACAGAACTTAGAATAATACTGAAGTAACACATAGCAATATCTTTTAGACTTTTCTACTAAAAGAATTAACAAAAATTCAGATTTCTATACAGTGACTGGCATATTGTTCATAAAAGTTAAAAATTGGAAATGTGTTAAATGTCTAACGAATTCTTATGCATACAGATGATTCAATTAAATTTTGTTTCCAAAGTATTTACTGATGTAAAAAAACTTCATTAATGAGATATTAAGTAAGAGGTAAGCATAAAACTATATGTATCATAATCTCAATCACAATAGAAATGTCTGTGCACATAATACATTTACATACACATGGAAAATGACTCAAAGGAAATATGTTAAAAGGTAACAGTTATTATCTCTGGTCAGTAATGCCATAGGAACTTTTTTCTTAATTTTTTGTATTTTTCCAGTTCCCAATCTTGAAGATGTCTTACATAATTAAAAAATATAAATGTTATTTTTAAAGTTATTGAAACAATCCTTTTCTGCTCGGCATATTTTTCTTTATTTACAGTGCTAATTTTCCTACTAACTTCCACTTTGTCCACTAAAAATTTGGTATATGTGTATACACATTGTCCTTTATCTCTGCAGAGTTCAAGATACAGTCACAGAATTATTGATTTGTAAATTTCAAAAGAAAGATAAATTTACAAGTTTCTATGTTAGTTTTGAGATACATTTGTGGCATGACTGTCCTAGTCTCATATAAAAGGATAATTGACTCATCCATTTTCATAGAAAATTTAGGTGATTTCTGGCTTTACAGAATTGTGGACTTTCCCCTGCATTTTTCTATAACAGTTACATTGTATAATTGCATTTGCATGAAATAGAAGATGCTTTACTACTATAATTCAGATTACAATGATAATTGCTTTTAAAGGGAAAAATATGACACCTTAATTTTTAATTCTTTTAGATTCTGGTTTGACTTTTGGTAACAATTAGCAGAAGGCCAATATAAACCTCCTATTACAGAATATAATTTTTGTCCCAACCTAACATCATCTAAACATACAAGGGAAAAAAATATAGTTCAACCGGGTGTGTGTTCTTTACTTCAATTAAACTCACACAGTTGGATACCTACTGTTGCCAAAACAGTAATATAATTTATACATTATAGTCCACACAGTAAAACTACACTAAAAGTCATTTAACAATATTTATAACACCATAAAATACAGTGTTAAAATATATGAACTGCAATATGTACCAAAATTATAAAATTTGTTTCTCATCATCAGTGATTAAAACCAGGATCATTGCTCTAGCTTCAATACTCACAGCCCTGGTGACAGATTAGAATTCAAATCTTAATGATCAATTTACAATTAACAAGATAGAAGTGAAACAAATTAAACCAACCATTATATATAACGAGACCCCATGGACTCCCATTGTTCCTCTTAATTACAAAACGCAAATTACAAATACACAATGGGCAGTGTTAGACGTCAATCCACAAGCCTAGCAACCCAGAAAGTGACAACGACGGAAAAGAAAGAAGAGAAGCAAAACCACGGAGACCCCGGTTCTGTGTTCTTTCCCGATCTTTCAGTGCGCAAATGGAGACAGGCTGCGATCTAGCACATACTTGATCTCCAGCACATAGGCTCTCCACTCCGATGCTGGCAGAAACTCATTCCCAGCCAGTGCCCAACCTTTCGAGCTCTTCCCAGGCCGGGTTTTAGATCACACTGCAAACTGCACTGCTATCTCACTGCTGATTCATCTCAAGTGCCTAGGGAGAGGGAACACTTCCTTCACTTTGATAAAGAAAAATCACAGTTGTACCAAAGATATTTAAATATCTCCATTTACCTCCTTCAAAAACAACCTCATAACTGCAATAAACTCTCAGAGTACTGGGGAATGCAGACGGAAGGGTGAGCTAAAGTTTATCTGTGCTTCAACTAAAATCAGCCAGAATGTCTGCCTTATGCCAATTAAAAGCAAAATGGAATTAATTCTCTTGCCTGATGGTCAAAAACAAGCTATAAAAATGCACAGAATCGGCATTTCATTTTGAGTTTTAAAATGAGAAGTGCCATTCACAAAGCCTGGGGTTGCAAACACCACTCCACGCACAGTGTGGAGTGCACGGTGCAGCAGGAACGGTGCTAATCACCATGGAGGCTTCCAGAGAACAGAAGCGATCCTCACTGTCACAATGCGACTTGCGGTCTACTTGGGGAGAAAACACATACAACAGACACACACACAGAGGTACCACTTCAAAACGTTTTCACAGAGCAGCCTAGCAGGAGGGTGGGCATAGAGGACGAGGATCCGGGCATGGCGAGCCCAGGCTGTCAGTTTTCCTAGTGATTCTCATGGGCTCTAGTCAAGTGACTAGATCTGTACATAAAAAAGCTGATTTTAAATAGTAGGAGTCCATTTGGTTAGTGTGGCATTTTGAATAACTTAAAACCCTTAGAGAAATGCTGATACTAAAGAAAGGCAGGCAACCGTGCTTTAAATGATTGATCAATATTAAACAAATATACCTGCTTTCAGGGAAAATTTTACTGTGGTACTCTGAGGCCATGGTTACCGTATGCATTAGATAATTATTTTGGAGACTGAGTTGCCACAATGACCAAACTTTCGAACGTTTTCTGAAGTCCAAAGCAACAGGGAAATTATTTACCCAAAAAGTTTGGTATAGGGAATAACGAAGCACATTCTGGGAGGGCTTCTACAGGGCTTATCACTTTTATAATCTTTATTTAAAAGAAACATGCTAAGCCCTTCAAGTTTTATAGGTGGTTTCAAAGCCAGTGGTAATATTAAAGTGGAATGCTAAAATTGGCATGAATGCATTGCTGAAAATGTTATATTAGAAAGCCAGGGAGAAACAAGACTAAATTGATAAAAGATTAAAGGCAAACAAACAACCCTAAAAATCACAATTTATTTTACCTACTCCTGTCTTCTGAGACACACAAAATGTACTTTCGCAAACTTTAGAGGAGCTTGAAATTTTTAAAAATTGCAAGAGACAGGCCTTAGTTTTGAATCAACATGTAGTGACAATAGATGCTCATTTTAATTCATCAAATTTATCAAACCAAGTGCCAGAGCAGGACCTGCCACATAACCAGATCCATCTTTTCTTGATGCCGCTTTGCCCTTTAAAAGGTTTCCACTGCGATGTAGACTTTATGTGTATCAGAAAAATGGCACTCAGACCTTCCCTGGAAAAGGCAGTGGGAGTCGGTGAAGTGTTTGCCAAATGATCAGTCAAAACCCTTAAAGACACGTCACTAACAACAGCAGTTGCAACTAGTGTGTGTTACTATGGGTTGAGGACTGTGCCAGGGGCTTTACACAGTGGACTTCTGTATTTGTGTGCTCTGCATCCATTTTATTTATTTATGTATGTATGTATGTCTTTTTGAGACAGGGTCTCACTGTGCAGTTTAAGCTGGCCTTGAGCTCACTTTGTAGCCCAGGCTGGTCTGGAACTCACAACGATCCTCCTGCTACTGCCTCTGGAGTGCTGGGATTACAGGTGTGTGCCACCATGCCTGGCTTCTGCATCCATTTTAAATAACAGTTGAGCACCTGCAGACTTTGGTATCCGGAGGGTTCTGAGACCAATCCCCTACAGGTACTGAGGGACACTGGTATACGTAGCCGTGTATGGATGTCTGCATTTCTACACACACAGTTCTCATTCCCATAACCAACCTGTATTTTTACAGATGGAGAAGCTGAGGTTTGGGGAGATCAAGCAGTGTACCTCAGGTTACACAGTTAAGTGGCAAACCAAGATTCAAACCGAGTTCTTTTTGAATTACAAAATGTTTGTTCCTACACATTGCCTGTTACCATAAGGGAACAGGGCTGAGAGAAGACAGAAGTCAGTTTGTTTCATTCATTCACTCATTCATTCATTCATTCATTCAATTACATGTATTGAGTGCCATCTATGTGTCAAATACAAAGGAAAACATTCAACTTATAATGTGTGGTGGTCAGGAGCTGGGGGAACCAGAAGCAAGAAACGCTGGAGAAAGGCTGAAGTTCAGTTTCCCTAGACCTGTAGGAAATAAGTTCTAGAGGAGGTTAGATCTAGAGGAGGAAAAGAGGGCCCGGCAGCACATAGTACAGGTTAACCTCGGTTCTCAGGTTAGCTCTTATATGCCAAGGAGGCCAGCTTCGTACAAATTTAAAGGTTAGTTTTTCCTTCAAAACAGTTCTCATCATTGCTACTGTTGCCTGGATTCTCTATTCTCTCTCTCCTTCTTTCCTTCCTTCCCTCCCTCCTCCTCCCCTTCTTCTTCCCCTTCTTCCTTCTCTTTCTTCTCCTTCTCCCTGTCCTTCTTTTTTCTTTCCCACCGTGTCTCTCTCTCTCTCTCTCTTTTTTTTTTTTTTTGTCTTTTTGAGACAGGGTCTTGCTAGGCAGCTCAGGCTGGCCTTGAGCTCATTTTGTATCCCAGGCTGGTCTCCAACTCGCAACGATCCTCCTGCCTCAGCCTCCCAAGTGCTGGGATTACAGGCGTGCGCCGCCACGGATGGCGATTCTCTTTTCTTTTTAAGAGAAGGGATCTCACTATGTTGCTGAGGCTCGCCTCAAAGTCCTGGACCTAAGTAGTCCTCTCCATCAGCCTCCTGAGTAGCTGAGACAGCCACCATGTTGGCTAACCTGAATTGTCTGTAGTAGTAGACATAAAATATTGTAATTATTGTAAGAAAGGTTGCTGACGTTAGAGTAAGAAATGCCGAGGTGAGAACCTTTGTTCTCTGACTCATCAGTTACTTAAACCAGTTATTTTGATTGTCTTATCTGTAAAAGAAGACAAGAATTCCTGTCCCAAGCTGTGGTGAGAATTAAGTGATGTGTATCAAGCACCTTTATCTCTTTCATTTCCCTAATTATTTGGTCTAAAGATAACTTTTGTGTTCACAGAGGACTGTGATAATAGATTAAAATATGTTAATTATATCAATAGAAGATTTTAAAATTGTTTGATTTACTGTGTCCTTTATAAATAATTGTCCCCTTAACTTTTATATTCTGAAACTTTGTAATTTTCAATTCTAAACATTAAAGCAGTCAAATAAGAGCATGAATACATAACGATGAAAAATATCGAAGTGCTTGTACAGACAGTTAAGAAAATATTCATATAGAGAAAATATTTTCAAAGGAAATATATCAACAGGTAACTAATTTTAACATTAGGTTATAACACTGGGAATGCTAATTTTTAAGGAGAAAAAAATGACAGTAACCACACAGTGGCCTGAAAGAATTGTGTAACTTTACCTACCTGCTTTTCTTAGAGATCTGCTCCAGTTTCTTGACTAATGAAGAGCACTCTTCCTTTAACTTTATCAGAAATGTGTTCTGGGAGGTCATCAGTGAGTACTGCTCATTTTCTAGGAATAACAATAAACCCCCACCAGCATCAGATGTTTATTGTTGTAGCTTTGAATGCTTCCACATGTAAAGTAGTAAAGTGCTTTAGATCACTACATATTTTCTAGAAGCCACTAGATCACTCTTAGTACCCTAATTTAAAGGACATATTAGCTGGTAAGACACAGAATCTTGTGAGATGTTTATTTTTATAATAAAATTATACACAAGCACCATTTTTGATCATATCAGCTTGCTGCAACATTTTAGTTTAGCATGTTCGTAAATTGTCAAATACCTCAAGTGGAGTCATAGATGCTTATATCTTTGTAATATGAAAGATATTATATTTTTATTTTGACAATTCCACTATAAACTGTCAAAAATCTTACAACCAGATAATTCAAAACCAAAATCATCGAGGAATTCGCTTTTACACTGTAATTCATGCTTTATGTTTCACATTTGAGCAGAGTTTACCAGCACCTCCCCCACTTGAGTCCTGCACACACTTCTCTAATTATGAAGATGGAATATATGATTTTCCTTAGACTTTTAAACTTTTTATTAATAGCATGTACTTCAGTGGAGATCTGGTCAAAGAAATTGAAGACAGTGGTGTGTGTATAAAAAGGTGCACGCAAAGTAGTTGTAAGTGTTCATAATGTGGGTTTAACAGTTAAAAGCTCTTATGTAAGGCTCTGCCTAAATCTGCCTAAAATTCCTGATCACTAAGCTCTTGGTAGCATGGGGGCAAACAGTAATTTATCCTGTAATTCCTTCTTTGTGTTTTTAGTGTAAAAACATCTACTGAATCTGGTGAATTTTCATTTCTTCTGGCCAAATGCTGTGAGAAGAAAATATCTACTGAAAGTGCTAGAGGGAATTGTGAGTCATTACGGCATTTTCTTCTGTATAAGTAAACAGATTATTTAATATATTTCATGTTAGTGATTTTTCACCTATGGAATAAGAAATAATGTTTTACTGCATCATCAAAGGCAATGTACATTAAATACTGTGATTATTACCCCTGTAAGTATAAGGTTTAATAGGCCCTTCATTCCTTTTCCATTTTAGTTAATGATTGCTAAAAAAGCATAGAGCATAGAAAGCAAAATAAATCAAGGCACTAAAATTAAGCAACATTTTTCTGGAAGAGACAGGATCAATTAAACTTTTGTTTTAATAGTACAATCAGCGTGAAGTATGTGGTGTGGAATTATAATGACTGACACTGTCTTGTTTTGACTAACACTGTCTGTGAACACACAACTCAAAAGTGAAAGGAACTACATAATGCTCTGACTGAACAAATCAAACTGCCTATTTTCAAAGTGCATTTTACTTTCAAATTAAAGGTAAAGAGTTGCTGGCCAACTCTCTCTGCAGAATAGTGCCAATGTGATGAAAGATGGCAATTTTTAGCCAAGCTGCCAGCTGTGGTCAATGCCTTGTATTAGTGAATTTTAACAGCAGTTGTGAGAACTTGAAGAATGCAAAGGATTAAACATCACTCTAGATTGGATTGGGGGAGGTGGGGAAATCATACAAATGCTAAAAATGTTCGAAGCTGCAAAGATTAAATAAAGGAACATATCAATTTGGAGCCACTGAATTACATCCAGCTGCGACAGTGAATTAAGAACCGATTAATGGCTAAAGCTTTTCTCCAGTTTGGATGCTGAAGCAAACTCATTAGGCTTTTAGAGTAGCTATAATGTGTGTACTGTGGGAACTGTTCAATGCTATTCAGGAGACTCTAACTGTAAGCTCAGAGCATTTCCCGCAGAGCTTCTGATGCTATTTTCTTTATATAACATGTGTGCCTGAAAACCCAGCCAAAAACAAGCCCTTTGTTTTTCTACTTTGTTGTGGTCTCTCTCAGCTTTACGTTTCTTGAACACAGGTAAATAAACTCATAATCCAGATGGTGCAACAGATGTGAGAGCAGCACTCTGAAATCAACAGACAGTGGGCAATACTTTCCATTTTCTCTTTTAAACGCTAACTAATATGTAATTCGGAATCTCCGGTGTAGTTAGCATCTGCTCCCTTCGGCCAGCCAAAGGTTACAGGTGTTCCTGATGTCATTTCACAGTAAGGCGTGGGCCCGGCTTGTGAGCGAGTGCCCAGGCTCTAATCTTTCCCTACCACCTACCAGTTTTGTCATGCTGGGCCTCCATTTGCTGTATCTTCTGTGTCAGCTCTTGCTCTCTTTGCTGGGCCTGAAGGGCTTGGGCCTTTGCTTCGTTGCTGAAGCTCTGCTGAATGCTATCTTTTTCCAGTCTGCGAAACAGAGAGGAGACATACAGAATTGTAATCTGTACACGCACAAACCTCCATCATTCTCCCTACGGATCACAGAGAGCTGATGGGTAGTAAATTGTTAAGCATAAGAAAAGAACAATCTTTGCACAGATCCAACCTCCAGCCCCAGGAAGGGAAAGATCCCAAAGACTTTTCTTACACTGTTAAATACATGCCACAAGTCCAAATGAAGTAAAGAATGCAGCTCTAAAATTTAAAAATCAGGACAGGTTAAGAGTGGTATTTTGTAACTTTAAAGCACACATACCCTTTTTTCCTGTAACATTTCTTACTGTTTTATGCTACCAATTAATCTTTCACCTTCTAATTCACTTTTTTTTTTCGGTACTGGGAATCGAACTCATGACCTTGTGCTTGCCAGGCAGGTGCTGTGCTGCTGAGCTAAATCCCCAGCCCCTCTTTCACCTTCTAAATGGTCAATATTTCCTAAAGATCTTGGAATTCTACAAAGAGCATGACTTAGTGCCTAGTTTAAGTAAAACTTACATTCTTAAAATGTAAGCTTTGAAGGGCACTTATGGTTTTCCTCTGGAATTTAAAATGCAATCTCAAATATAGTTCAGGAGACTGTCTACAGGTCAGTAAATTCTGCAGTGCTACATGCATGTTTTATTAAATATTTTCACATATAATGTGAATGTTAAGTATGAAAATGTATAACTCCCCTTAGCACTTCATAAGAAAATCTCTCTTGGGTCATATTGAAAGAAATTGCAGGATAAAAATCTTCTATAGTCAAAGATAACATCCCAACCTACTGCAATAGGATGCTGACCTATTCATTAGGCCATTATCCAATTCCAGTGGCTCCTAAAGAGAAGACTTCCTAAGCAATTAGAACCCGAGCTGTGCAAAAGACCTCCTTGCACATCATGGATACTGACACTGCATCTGTGCCACCCATGCATACACACATGACATACACACCCATACACACACACACACACACACACACACACACAGATTCATTCTCAAGCATGCAGTATGAGGATTTCCTTCAATTAAATAGTTTTTTGTAACTCCTGATCTCCTTGTGGGCATTTCTCAACCATGCTGCTTTAGTTTACTAATTGAGATATTTACTGCCTAGCCTTTGCCAAACTAAAAATAAACAATTCCATAAAGCTATCACTACCAATCTATGTACCACTGTGGAACTTCAATTCACTGGTTTCTAATTATAAAACAACATAAGGAAAGCCTGTATTGAAATTGGTCAATGCATGTGGTAACATGTAGTGTAAAATTCTAGAATGAAAATACACCCACACCTCACTCAAATGGAATCATCGGGGGTCCACACTAAATGTGAAATAAGGTCCCTTCTGGTCGTTCTAACAACAACAACACCCCCTGGATGTGGGCCAAGGTCTTGTCTCACACTTACTTCCAAACTAGTATATTGCAACAAATGGATAGTCAGACGAGGCTACTTTTTGCCTCCTCCATCACACCACGCATTTTCTGGCTATGGATCGTGCACATGTCTCCTCCTCTCCTGGAATACCCCCTGCACATCACCCAATCCCCTGCACGATGGATACTATTTCTTTAGGGAACTCCACAGTGTTCCCTTCTCTGACCTCTGCCTCCTGAATTAACTATTTTTCCCTCCGTGACCTCAATACATGCTGTACACACCCTAAAAGGCAGCGCTGATCCTGTGTAGTTACTGGTTCCCATGCCTACTCCTTTTGTAATCTCTGTTTCTTTCCACCCTGAGCCAAGCTCAGCTCAGCACACAGAGGCTGAGCACTGAATGTGGAATGGCTGGAAGTTCTTACACCCTTGCCCTTAAAGGGGGCGGCCTTTAAGTGAAACCAGAGAATCTGCTCTTATGCGAAGGAGGCAAACACTCTTCAGACAGTAGAAAAGAATGCTTGTTAGTGGCTCTGTTAGCTGGAGACCAGCCTGTTAGAGGAGCAGCTTGAAGACAGCTCCAGGAACTCTCACTCAGTAGCCATGCCCAGGTCAGTCCTCTGGCAGAGCAGGGCATACAGGTGGGGAGCCCTGGGGCTTTGAGTTCCCTAATAGTTGGGCGTCCATAAAATGCACTGTTCGAAAGCACATGCATTTGTGTGAAAAAAAGAGGCATTATTAATAATTATACCAAGAAAACAGTCATAACTGAGACTACCCCCCCGCAAACGAGGACTTCTGGTACTGCAACATAGAGGGGTTGCCAATCTTGCCATCAATTTTTAGAATGAAAACTTCTGAGTTACACATCAATGTGTCTTTTTTCTTGTCTGTTTTTTTTTGTTGTTGTTGTTTTTTGTTTTTTGTTTTTCTTAGCAGTACTGGGAATTGTACCCAGGGCCTTTGCACTGAGCTGCATCCCCAGCCCTTTCTTATTTTTTTTAAATTTGAGAATGGATCTCACTAAGATATCAAGTTATTCAGACTGAGCCCAAACTTTGATCTTCCGGCCTCAGCCTCCCAGAGTTCTGGGATTACAGGCATAAGCTACCATCCCATGCTCAACTTGTGTTTCTTGACCCCTTGCCCAACTTTCACCCTATTTAAGAAACTATATTTATTATTTTCATCACATAAAAACATAGCATATTATTGTTTTCCTTCTTCCTCTCCCATTTCTCCTCTCTCCTGTGTTGCCCCTCTCCTTGCGGGCTCTCCCTGACTTGGTAGGCTTTTTATAAAGCCTCACAGTGGTAGAAATGAAAGGGAATCTCAAATTTGCTTCATCAAATCAAGCTCTCACCTTACAGCTGACAAACAACAAACAGTCCATGTTAAAAATCTCTAAAGCCTATAAAGCATTTTAAAGCCACTCATAGATTACAGAGTGAAGGGGCTGGGGATTTAGCTCAGCGGCAAAAGCATCTGCCTGGCAAGTGCAAGGTTGTGAGTTCGGTTCCCGGTACCGGAGAAAAACAAACAAAAAGAAAGATTACAGAGTGAAGAATTTAAGTGTGAAGGTAGAATCAAGAATATTTTTACTCAGGGAAACCTATTTTATAACACTCCAGAGCAGTGGTGGCGAACTTATGGCATTTGTTTTTCTTTTAAGAGAAAGGATGTTACTGTACGAATTGTTTTTCTAAACTAAAACCTCAGTATTTTAATTGCAGCGTTTAATTGCAGCGTTGGCACTTTGCAATAAATAAGTGGGTTTTGGGTTGTAGTTTGGGCATTCATCTCTAAAAGGTTCACCATCAGTGCTCTAGAGGAAGAAGTAATAAAAACCACTTAGGTATTCAAGGGACAGGACTAAAGAATTCATATCAATCTGTTAAATATTTATCATGAGCCTATTATGTGAAAGACACTGCTAGGCACAGGGTCAAATAAGACATAGTGTTTGCCTTTGTAGGGAGTTCAAGCTGGGATGGGGAAAAGGCAGATGTGGGATATCATAAGGAAGTATAGGGGGAAAAAACTACCAAAGCACAGAAAAATGATTCTAGCTGGGTATGGGGCCCTTGTAAAGGAAAGCTAATCCAGTCTTCCCCACCTGACTTCCTTTCAATCGCACTCAAAACATTGATGATCTTACCTAACCAAGCTCATAGATAGCCTTATTTTACAAATTGCAATGGCAGTAAAGACGTTTTTTGGTAGTTATTAAAACAGGGCTGAACGATTTATTCACAATGACAAAACTGAAAAGAAACTAAATGCCCATCACCTGCTAAATGGATAAACAGATTGTGGTGCAGCCTTACAAAAGAGTGCTAGGAATACGAGCAATAAAAGGAACCAGCTGCTGCTACATACAACACCTAGATGAACCTCAAAAGCAATCTGCTTAAAGGAGCCAGACACCAAAGACATATTTTATGACTTCATTTGCATAACATTCTTAAAAAGTAAACACTAGAGTGACAGAAAGATCAGTGCTGCCAGGTCCTGCAGGCAGGGGAGGGGCCTGGGGGAGTGTTTTGCCTGATAAAAATGTTTGTATCATGATTATGATGGCTCCACAACTGTATACATTTGTCAACATATATATAACTCCACACTTAAAGTTTGTGACTTTTAATGTACTTAAATGTACCTCACTGAGGCTGACTTCAAAAAGGAGGAAACGTGCTAACACAGGAACGTCCACTTTTACCCTCCAAGTTATCCACATGCCCTGAGACCCCCACCCACGGGCCACACTAGTATTTTCCTGACAACAACTCAAGACTTAAAAGGAATGGACAAGCACTGACTAGGTCTCAAGCATACGCTAGGCATCCGAGGTCTTTCTTCCAGTTATAGTTCTAGCTGGCTGTACTTTCTAAAACTGAGGGTAATATGTGCCACTCTGGTGTCCATATCATTTAAAATCCTGCCATTGAAAAATGTCCATGTCACAGAGCAAAATGACTTGTAAAATAGATTTTAAAATAAGAGAATAGTTTAAATTTCATAGCCTGTTTGAGGAACTCAGAGTTTGTGATGATCTCCAAGTTCAATAATAAGCCTGGGACAGAAACCATGAATCCCTCAAGTCTGAGAACCAGGACCTGGGAGTGGCGGTCACTGAGGCACCCCTCCCATCTGCCGTGTCTCTGTCACCTTCTCCTCACGTTGCAGGGTAGTATTAGACTTGCAGCCTGTTGGGTTAAAAAGTGTCTCCTTGTGATAGTAGCATATCTGTGTGAGAAAACCTGTGAGCGGGGTGTGAGTGTAGCTCAATGGTGAATCACTTACTCAGCATGTGCAAGGCTCTGGATTCAAGGCCCAGCATCACAAAGAAAAAACAAATAGACTTGTGAGAAGATTTATAACACACTTACTGGCTGAAACCACTCTTGAAGGCACACAGAGAGATGCAACAGGAAGGAACTCTTGCTGTTGTGATTTCAGACACAAAGTATGTATGTGTCTCAAAACCAGTAATATTAGCTTTCATCAGTGGGTCTACATCATCAGTGTGATAGAAAGTATTTCATAAGTAGCCTTAGGTGTGGGGAGAGAAATCAGTCAATCACAGTGTTCAGCAATTT